AAAGGCGAGTGTAGCCGCATGTATGTAAATGTAATTGTCACGCCACTTTTTTATTGGATGCCCGAGGTTCTGGGAGGACATCCTTTCTGCGATTGAAAGTACTACGCATGGCGGAACACATCATTTCGCCACACAGATCATTTCAATAGTGGGCAGTCCCCATTGCCGACTCTTGAGCTTCAGGCTTCCAAGCCTTCAGCGCTTGGTACAACCATTAACTACGCCTCTTCCATTGCAGTCGCCTAGGGGTGGCCACATTTGGCCGGAAGACCGAAGACAGATTTTGAAGACACATGGACTGCGCCTCCAAAAACTGTGCTGTGGAGGTGTTCAATAGGTCTACGAGAGGAGTATACGGAAAATCAATCAGCATGCGAGCCCAAACCCCAAGCCCCAAAAGCCTGCAGCTCGGTTCGTTGAAGCCCCTGTGCGTGCAAATCACCAGATTCTGTAAAGGTTCAGGCTCTTGGAGATCTGACTTCCGGGACCCTGTAGGAACTCAGCCGTCCCATGGCCTGGCCGTGCCCGAACATGCTGCAAACCTGTGCATCCTGATATCCCCTGTCCTCACCAGTCCTCACCAGAAGTGCCGTTGGAACGTGCCGTCACGGCACGTGTGTCATTGGACCTGGTGCCGCCACCGGACGTCAGGCGATCCGCCACTCAGTTCTCAGAACACGGGTTACCAAAGGACGTGGCACCAGACCATGGCGTCAAGGGACGCAGCGTCAGAGAGTCCAGTCGCCGTGGACAGTCGATGGGCCAAGTGGGGACGGTAGGCGCCCCTTGCCTCTTTTGATCTCTTTTGTGCGCGTGCTGTTTCAACCGCGGCGGCCCCAACCAGCGCGCCACCACCTGCACCAGATAATGCAGCCCGCCAGCCGATGCTGCTGACATGCTGGTCATGACAACTATCATTGCTAGGCCCAGTTCTGAATTGCAGACGAATATGTTCGGTGTTGCAGAGTGCTGGCACTCCCAAGTTTCATGGAATGCAGCTGAAGACTGGTGACCGCTTCATATCATGCCCTCCGGCCTAGCCGCACCGGCTAGCTGGCGTTGACTCATGGTGTATGGCCTTTAGTTTGCGCAAAAGCTGCAGCCAAGGCGTGTTCGACTGGTACTGAGCGCTGAGAAGACACCGCAGCTGGCCGCGAATGTGCGGCTAGCTCAGACTGGTGGTGTGCAACGTGTGGGTTTGGCAAGGATCTCGCTGCCTGCATTCATGTGAACTGCTCCTGCCTTTTTGCATCAACTTGAAACTTTGCCGCCATGCATGTTTACCGAAATGGGGTCAGAATACGCATGCTGCTGGCACACAGGAGCTACACCGTTTCCGCTTGGGACCCGGGACACCCGCCCTCCCGTCCTCAGCAGATGCAGACCAAGTTTGTGAGGGGTGCCTTGCTATCCCGCTCAGCCCTGGCCTTGATACCTTGAAGCGTGGCCAAAAAGGATGGAGGCCGGATGACAAGTGGAGAGAGTGAGCGGTAGCGCTGGAGGGAGGGTGGCAGGGTGGGCAGTGGGGGCATGGGAGCGGGATTTGCAGGTGAGGCCATGCTCGAGATGCCACTTGCTGGTGGTGGTGTTTCCCATAGATAGGCGTATGAAAGGATATGCGCTCAACTTCCAGTCAGTTGGTTGAGGCATCACCAGTACGGCGACAAGTACTTCCTCGTCGAGAGGGGCACCTGCATAGCAGCACTTTGCCTGCAAGATCAGGAAATCTCAGTGGGCTCTCACCTCATTCGCAAGTCAAGTGCTTTTTTTGGCAGCTCAACATGAAGACGGGAAAGAGAATCCTACTGCTGAGCCTCTCGAGGTGGAACTCGCAGCTCGTACTCCCAGCAGTCTTATCAGTATTCGCGGCCATACCGAGCAGTAAGTAAACCTGAGAGTGGATGTATACCAATAATTAATTACAGTATGATATATATATATATATATACACCTTTATGTAGCCTTGTCCTGTGGCCAGCCACACAGAGTATCAGCGAGCTCCTCGAGGCATGTAGAACTGAAACCAACATACAAGCCACAAGCGACTTCGGAGGCAGCCTCGCAGATGAACTGCCTTGCAGCAATGGGGCTTACGGCAGACCAGCCACTTGGAAAGCTGTAAGAACCCAGGCAGTTTGCTGGATGTCTTGAAGTCAGAGCAGGAAGTTCGCATCGTTCTTGTCTGCTCCTCCTCCTTGTTTCGGTTGATCATGGTTGATCCATGTTGTTGTTTTCCCTTTATTATGTTTGGCTCTGTGTCCGAGGGGGATGCGACGCCCTTAGCAAGTATGCTGGGAATGCAGCATGCAACCCATGCGGATCCATGCAGTATGAGAGCTGAAGTGGCGAGCTGAGCGCTGCCGAACTGAAACCGTTTCTTGCAGACGCCAAATAGTACCTTCACATCTTGTGCTTGGACCGTTGCTCATCGTTTGCCCCAGGAGAACCCATCTCGAAACAGAAGCGCAATCACACCCCCGCCCAAGAGCAAATGGCAGCTCTAAAACCGAGACGTTTTTGCACAAGGAGCTGATTTTTCAGAGCAGCAGAAGGAGGAGGTGGACCCAACCCCCCCGGTCGCGTCATTCCTGTTTGGCAGGTCCTGCACTGAAGTGTTTGTGGTAGGTGTGAAGGTCGAATGGCGGGAGTTCTCAAAGCGTGAGAGACGACCCTTGTCAGGCCTGAGCTTAGGGTGACACCGCGCAGTCGCCACAGGGCTTCGGCACTCCACACTCGAAGCAGCATGCATCAAAAAGCCTCCGACTTAATCAGACGTCGGACAATCCAAGGCTCCGCAGCCTGCATGCGTGGCTGCCAGGACAGGTCTCGTTGCGCTTCAGGTCCCTTTCGTGCACGTCCTTGTTTATTGTTCTGTCAGTCCTTGCTCCGCTTTCCTCTTTCTTCGTCTCATGCCAAGTAGTGCAGGTCTCAAGAGAAGTGCACCTTCGATCGGGAAGAGAAACGTGAGGAGGCAGGCCTTGGGAAACAAGCGTGTTGTACGAGCTTCTACACTGCTGCGTGTCATGAGAGCCAGGAAAACCCAAGGAAGCACGTGGAGGAGCTTTCTGTCGGCGGCGTAGCACGTGCCAGCTGGTCGAGCAAGGCATCACCCATCAAGTTCAGTTGAGTTGATGAGTGCCAAGCACAGATTTGGCGTAAATAGCTGCTTCACATGCCCAGCAGAGGCGGAGGAGCTTGGAAGTGTTTGGCGCTGCAGTGTCCCGCAGGTGGTTACGACCATCACGGAGTATTTCTGGAAGTTCGAGTCTACTTATACCCTGGAAGCTTTTAGAGGCGTTGGCGCTGAAGATGCTGACAGGACCGTGCCTTCATAAGAGCTGGCAGTCAGAGACTTGCACACCAGCCTCTAAGTCAGTATTCGGCGCAGTGCAAATGTGTTGTGGAAATTCTCTGCAGCAGCAGTCCGCAAGCCACAGCTCGCTTGACTTGTCAAGCAGCGCCGTGGAAGAATCCGCTGGGTCTTCCTCCGACCTTTGAGTGGATCTATACTTCTTGAATCTCAGCCGCAGGCTCCTGCTGCTCTCAAGGAGCGGGCAGGTTGAGCTGAAGACCAGCGCCACAAAGCAGCAGATAGCATGCTCCCTTAAGTCCATAAGCCCAGTTTTGACGGCTTATTTGGCAGTATGTCGCAAGGCCAAGTCCCCTCCACCGCATCCAGAAAGTCGAGTCCCTGCCACAAACCAGGAGGCCGGTGACACAGCCAAGCCGCTGTCATGTCCTTCACATGAAGATTAGCTTCTTACATGCTTTGACTCTAGCCAATCAGAAGGTCAACATCACATGGCTTTTACAGCTGCTATCGCAAGACGGGGAATCACCTCTTTTCAAGATCCTCAGCAGCAGGACTGTTTAAAGCTGAGAGTGTTTTGGTTCAGCACACGCCGTGACAGCCCAACATCTATTGACACATTCAGCCATGTGTGGCTGCCAAGCATGTGCTCCTTTTGTCAGAACGGTGTTTCAGGCTTTGCCTATTCCAAAAACCTACACATAGCTCCCCAAGATGTTTCCACCTTCATTAGTTACCCCTGTCCACGTCACGAACGTTTTGGAGTCAGCAGCTGCCGAAACGACGTGCTGCTGACATGTTGATACTTTAGGATCGATCGGGCGGCCGCGGGTTGCAGCACTCCACGTCGAAATCAAGACGTGGACAAAGCCTTCGCACACTTCACCATGTTTGCGAACTGGGCAAACGGCGTTTCAGACTACCTGTGCCTTGGCTTTTAGTCGCAAGGTGTGGGTCATGGTCCGTGCAAGTTGGTTGTTGCACATAGCCTTGCTAACATGTCGTGTTGACTGACTGCGGAGTAAGGAATCACTTGAGCTCTGTGGATCCTAGGAGGGGGATGGCTGATTGCATTCTGAGAGGTTATCTCAAATGCGCAGCCTTGCCTGCAGGATGTCACCACAACTCCAAGTTGATGCCGTTTTTGCACCCATCCTGCCGCTAATGGTGTCTTAGCAAATTGTGGTGGCCGCGCTAAACTACCTCTGAGAGACCATTCTTGTGCAACAGCTTTGCAGGCTTCGCAAACGCACGCTTTCAGCACCTTCGAGTGTGACTGTCTGCGACATTCATTGGTTGGCCGAGGTGAAAGGCCAGAGCTCTGAAAGCTCGTCAGCGAGAGCAGAGATGCCCTTCAACAGCAACGGCCAGATTCAGGAAAGGGGGGGGGGGGCGACTGCCCTAAAGCTGAGGTTAGCTTCGTTGTGTCCATCTACTGATATGCCAGACAGCGCGCATCTTATCACAAGGTTTGCTTGAGCGAGATAGCCACGTGTTGCAGTTCTGCATGCCAACGTATGTTTCTCTCGAGTGCGACTGGATGACCGCAGACTGTTGCGTGCTGAGGCTTGATCATGTCCGTCTCAGATGCAAACCGACTCCTCACTGAGGACACGTCTCACGACACTCCCAGCTGCTAACCTCCCCCTTTTGTCGAGCAGTGCAGAAGCTGTGCAGTGCATGGACTCCGCGTTGAAAGCTGCACAGCTGCACGGGTGGCATCGACCGACATCCCATCGTGAGGAAGTGAGAACCATCAAGGAGCAGCAAGCGAACATCTGTGAGTCTCGGACATGCTTGTGCCAGCAAGCAGTGCATTGGAGTAGAGTTTCCACTTTGCACATTGAGCCCCGAGATATCCTTGGACAAGCTAAGGAATGCCTGCCAGGCGCAGATGGCATCTATACCAATACGGAAGGCATTTGGCCTCTTTTGGTGACTATTTGCCTTGGTTTTTGCAACTACAACATAGGATAGTATTTGCTACGATTTGGCTTCGAGCGTGCGTGGGTGCAGTAAATGCCAAAGGCAGCATTCACTTGATCCTGCGCCACTGCGAGAATGTGGCCAAGCGTTGGAGCGAGTTGGTGGAGTACGTGTCGGCCTTACGATGTGTCTACTTCAGTTTTCGCCAAAGCTGACTTGCAGAGTCTAGCCACTGTCTTGCGCGTTCAAGTTGCGAGACTCCGTGTGCATGTAGGAGGCAGCGAGGATGCTTTTCAGATCTCGTGCTAAGGCGGAGGCCATGCTACGAAAGCAGCTGATGGACGCAATTGGCAAGGAGGCAAGCGCGTCTCCACCTTCGAGCAGGGCTGTCCGCATGTAGTCTCCAATGTTTCATCGACTGCTTTGGACAAGAACACAGCCGGCAGCTCGTCATTGTGACAGGTCACGCCGGCTCTCTTCGCAAGTTACATGCGCTTTCACTACCGCAAGCTGTTTCGACAGGCCGCGTCCTCCCACCTGTGCGACCATGTACCTCATCCCTTGACATCCCCTTGACTGTCAGGAATTCCAGCCACGGCAGTTCTGCTTTGCCGTTCGCCGGTCGGAACACCATAGTCCGGAGGGAACTATTAGCATCGAAGAGGACACCGTGGGGCTTGACGAGGCCAGCATCCGAAGCCCGAGCCTTGTCACGTTTTAGAGAGGTGCGCAATTCCTTGTTGAACTGCAGTATGTTGAGCTGTAACAGGCGACCAGCAGCTGCTGCAACTTGCTGATTGCTGTGTGGCTAATGTTGGTCGAGTGCATCCGAAAGAACTGTTGGTCTCAAAGCGAAAGTTCTGAACGTCTTGATGCAAGAAGTGACTAGTCTTGGATCTCGATTACTGGGGCGGTCTCTAGGTTTCACGTGAAGCTAGTGGCTTTCCTCAGGCCGAAACATCTCAAAGCTCTTGTGGGCTCCTTGAAGTTCTGTGGCCCAGGATTGTCACCATTGCCAACAGTGCCAGCACGCCGTGCCCGATGACCTTCCCACTGAATGCCTCAACGGAGGCATCAGGATGTATCAGGATGTACTACTTACATGCCTATCTGAGATGCAGGGCCTGTTTGGCAGAAGGAACATTCCTCAGTGACTCTGAGGTCTCTTTCACAGGAGATGTTCATTTGCATGGCTGGCTGTCCCATCGCTTTTCAGGAGCACGGGATGCTATACATAGGGCGGCAAGGATTTCACATTTGGTCAAATCACCTCCCCCTAATTTTTAACCTGCCTAAGATTAAAGAACAAATGCCGTGGCCCAAGAATCCTGAAGAGCACTGTTACAAGGAGAAGACTACTTTTCCAAGGGGCCGCCTAGTAATGAATTGGGGGTCGTTCTGAGGTCATAAGGTGGGATTGAATATGGAATCCCAAGGAATTAGAGATCCCCTCGATTTCGAAAATACTTCCTAGGCTGTCATTGTTTTCGTATGAGCCACGGTCAATACTTGTTTGTAAGGAGTTATGGCAGTGTCGGACATGGGAAGCAAAAACCTTGCAAAGCGACGGGAACATTGAAAAGCCACAGCCTAGAGTTTTCCAGGCGAAAGCCCTGTAAAGCGATGGGGAACATTACAGAATATTACAAAGCGACAACCCACGATCGCAGGTTGAGTACACAACCTTTGTAAAGCGACAGAAATATTGCAAAGCGACACCCCCAATTTGACGTCCATTGCCAGATGTAAGGAGTTTTGACCGTCCCTCATACTCAAAAAGCCTGATAAAACATATAGATACACACACATATACATATTATGCATGTACATACACACAACATCTGAATGCATTTCCAATCTACTTGATGATGGTGATAAACGTGTTGGATTGATATTGAGTGGGATTTCAAAGGGTTGAAGTGGATCGAAGTAAATTCTACTTGATATTAAGTAGATTTTGATGAGCGTTTAATTTAGTGTAATGGGATTTTACTGATTCGAATTGGTTCTTATTTAGATTTCAAGTGTTGGGGATGAATTTTCGGTAGATTTCACGTAGATTTGCTTCAATAGGTTCACAGAGTGTGAAGCTAGATTTTAATTGAAAGGAGTTCACGAGGATTTCTAAAGGCCGCCTTATCTAATGCTCTAATGTTGGACATTCTGTCTGGAATGTTCCGCAATGGAGGGGGTGACGTCCTTTGATGTTAGCGGGAAGCGGTGCATGGCTGGGACCTCGCACTTGGACTTTTAAGGCATGAGCAGTAGCCGAGCTTCCAAAACACTTTCTGTGAGGAGCTTCTGGTGTTTCGCTCTATTTGACCTCAAGGGCGCGGCAGTTTAGCTCCATGCTGGTCTTGGTCGGCCGAGTTGCCTCTGCAACCTCCTTCGACCCCAAATTCGCGGTCTCCCGACTGACCAGCAGCTTCTTGTGCAGACTCCCATGAGCTGCGCAGATGGAGTGTAGCCTCCACTATATGTACCTCCTCTCACCTCGGCAGATTTTGACCCCAGAGCAGGCTGCGCACACCAGCCATAGGCCATGGCTGGTGTGCGCAGGGGTCATGGCTGCTGAAAGCCACCTTGTATTGGTTGCTTGCCTCAAGCTGCCTCCCAAGGCCATCCTTCAGAACAAGGATGAGCTGACCATCCCACTGGAACTGTCAATGATACCAACGCCCAAGGCAACCTGTTTTGCTTTGGATTCCCTGGGTCGCTGCTTGACTGTGCATCGGGAAAAGTAATCGAAGAGCCAGGAGTTCAAGGATGCCATCGCCTCCTTGTCCCCGCAACAGCAGGCCTTTGCCAAGGCGTTCCGATCAATGCAGTGCCTTGCCTGCAGTGTCCCACACTGGTTTCCCATTCGAAGCTTTTTGTCTACAAGCGCTCACGCCAAATCTGACTCCGCTACAGGGGGTGGGAAGTCTCAGCGCATGCTTACATGCGCTCACCTCTTTGTGCAAAGTCTTTTGGAAGCTGGTGCAGCTCTGACTAGCTCCAAGCTGTGTGCAGCCATAACCCTGTGCGTGACACCGACACAATAAGGCTGGAGAGCACGCTTTTCGGCATATTGGTGGTGCAAATCAAGCCTCAGCTGGAGAAGCTCTTGAACCTACCAGATGACAGCCTGACGAAGGAGTCCCAAATCTGCCGCCAAAGCCAGAACTTCGTATATTCTCAAAGGTTTGGGATCTCCGACTTCATTCAATCTGAATTGGTCCCATTGGCATGGCCCTGTGCGAGACTTGGATTCCATTGCCAGCCTGGGTTCTAGCACAGGAGATCAAGCTAACCCAAGATCTCATGGATCTCTTCATCAAATACCAGATGCAGGGCTGCAAGCGGTGCTTGAGAACATGGATTGTTTTCTCCTCCTCCCTGTACCTCATCCCCCCTTTCCCTTGCGCACCAAAGGATTCCAAGTGACTTGCTGTCTTTCAGTGATGAGAGTGCCACAGGCCTACGCTCGTCCAGGACAAACCAGTAGCGTTTTCAGGAAGCTTCCCAAGAACTGTTGCAGGTGATTCGCCAGCATTGCCAGCAAAGCGATTGGAAATGGTCAAGAGGCACGTCAAGGTCCGGCTCCATAGGTATGGTGTGCGCATTTTCCCTGAGGGGGTCCAAGTTGCTTACCTGTGCAGGCTATGCATGACATGATCCAGCAGGAGAAGGAAGCAGAGGTCATGGCAGCGCGTCTCCTGGCTTAGCAACAACTCAAAGTGTCTTTGCTTATTATGGTCCGCGACTTAGAACTAGAACTTCCCAGGACAGGAGGCGCAGTACTCGCAGCCGCTTCACTTTGCACGGTCGGACTCGGACTGGCATTGGGGTTCCAGTGTTTGGGGTCAGGTTGCCCTTGCTTGCCGGCACTAGAAGGCATGCAGTTTGTGAGGACCTGTCTATGGAGGAGCGGCGATGCTCAAGCCCCCTGTCCGAGTGTGAAGAGGCCGAAGATGATTGTGATTCTGAATCTTGTCCGCATGTTGTTCAGGCTTCCTCTACTCGTTCCCTTCCCTGCTATTGAGCTTCTCACCTTTGCTTTAAAAAGCCACATTTCCCCCAGCCGCCGACTCCCCGGTAACTTCTGGTAGCCATGTTTGTTCTCAGGGCCGGCACAGATTAAAGGGCTCCGGATACCATGCTTCCAGCATGGGGCTAGACTCTGCACTCGCATTCCTGAAAAAAAAAGTCGGCATGCTAGCGATCACGCGAGTCACTTCTGCCAGAATATGCTCGCTACTCCCTTGGAGCGCAGAATAATGACGTTGTAGGAATGCAGATCTGCCGGCCTTTCTTCCCCCGTCAAGGCGCAGAGGAGTGCAATAGTTACCTGGCTAACTGGATTTCACGCACATAGCCTCCGTCGCATAGGCCTTTGGCAGCGCAATGCCCGTGGACTCTCGGAGCATTGTGAGCAAGCTCCTCTTGTAGGCAGAGTGCCAACTGAAAAGCGTGTTGTCTGATCATACTGTCGCAGTATGTCTAGTGAACCATCAGAAGGTAGGGTCGCATAGCCTCGCGGCCTCGAAGCACCTGAGTGTCGCAGCATCATGCTCTTGAAGGGCCTGCGCAAAACAAAGCCCAGGCTGCTGCAGCACCGCCGGCCATGCTGAAAAAGTGCAAGGTCACGGAGAAGTTGCTAGGCAGTATACGGGATCACCAGGTAGCTGGCCAAGGTGCGAGGTGGAAGAGCGCCGAATTCCCCGTGTGCAACTCAATAGGATTCCCATATTATGCTCAAAACCGAATAGATGCCCCTGAGCTTGCGGATATTGCTTCTCTTGATCGAGTTGCGTACTCGCAGAAGGTGGGAGTGTTCAGAAGCCTTTGGCAAAAGCCCAGATGTGAAGAGCGGGTCCGGGACCGCGACGACCGTTCTGCAACATCAGCGAATCCCGCGAAGCCGTCTTCGAGTCAGCCAGGCCAACCTGCTGAGCCCTCAGAGGCAGGGGCTGCCATGGCTGCCTCATCGTTTTTTTTTTTTGTTCCTGGCGCTCTTTCGAGTCGAAAAATCCTGAGTCAACGCTTCGCTGGAGGCTTTCGGGAAGGCTGGAGGACCTGGCAGCGGCGTGCAGATTGCCTGGTTCCCAGCAAAGAATCGCAGGAACGACCTCGTGTAAGTGTAAGACGCGCCCAACTTGCAACCAGGCTCGGGATTACACGAAGGTCCCCAAGCAGATGGATGCACAGTTCGAGAGCTTGGCTCCAGACAGATGCTTGCCCTAAATGGCCCAAACTTAACGGAAGCATAGCACATCAAAGCTGCCTCCCGCCTGCGTCTGTCGGCATTAGGTGCCTTGCGCCCGACTATCATCAACCCTGGAGTTTGCTGGACAAAGCGGGCGCAGAAAGCCTTGCTGGCGCAGCCCTCTGAGTCAAGCCTGTTTCATGACGAGCAGAAGAGAGAGAAGGCCAGGTCATGTGAGTAGTTTCCAGGAAGAGCAAGCATTCTCACATGCTGGGCCCATTCAATGACTCTAATATGGCATGAGCAGGATGCAGCCTTTGACCTGCTCGATGCAATTACCAAGTCTGGTGCCTTGCCTCTCAGCCATGCAGCCCTTCATATCGTTATCGCTGCTCAGCCTGAAATGGTGGGCATGCGTAGGTTCAGACCGAGTGTTCTGCTTAGTGCTCCCTGCGGTGCTTGCATCAAAAGGGCTTCCGTTCAAAGTGTGATTCTTGCGCGGGACAGTCGCCGTCAGGCTGCGACACACTGCTTCGACAAGACTGTGACAGAGACAGCCTCTTAACTGCATGGAGGACGGACAGCACAGTAAATTTGGGAAACCTGAGAATCACAAACTTTTAACGCGAGCGAAGGGTTCATCAACACAAGTCTCCAGAAGGTCAGGCCCAGAGACTGCGGCATTCATGCATAGGCATCTGCATTGAATGCCGCCGGTGCATTTACCCTGTTCTCCAGTAATTGTCACGCAGTGGGCAAGACAGTCTGCTGGAATGAGGGAACAAACCAAGGTTGTCCAAGACAATGTGAACCCCATCGATAAGGCACCTGCATGTGCGTTGTTGGGCAGGCATCGTACAAATCCAAGCAACGCTTCTCCTTGATTCAGTAAGTGCAAGATACATCCTGCTCTGGTTGGCGGGAGAAAATAGCCTACGTAGGTGCATCTAAACAGAGCTCCCGTCGCTTGGAAACTTGTTCATCGCATGTGAGATGTTTTGCTGTTTTATTGCTTGTGCCTTTTTTTCGCCCGGCAGTTTTGAATCCTTGTGAGTTTTTCAAATGTGTAACAGTGCTCTTGCCTGAAATGTCCCAACATTTGGCCCAACAGAGTGCTCTCCTGCTGAGTGCCCTCAGATGAAAGCCCTAAAGCCGTAACTAGTATTTACACCTCAAGGCTCTGAACGCCCTAAACCCCAGGACCTGAAGCCCAAACTACTGAGACCGCTTTTTTGCCAACGTTCGTCGTTAGCCTCACGAGCCTCCGAACGTCAGCGACACAGTTGGTCGGATAGAATCAGCGACAATATAGAATGGCAAAAGACTACACAATCATGTCTGCACGTTCGTCATCACATTATTTCAGAACATTATTTGGTCCCAATTCGGGATGATAACTGCGGTAGGTTTAGCCCGGTTAGCGAGGTTGAGATGAGAAATTCGTTCAGCAATCTTTAAACACGTGACCAAGATCCCGACTAGCCGCAAGACCACTAAGAGATTTAAACCCTGTGCCGAGGGACCTCAGGTGGTGTAAGTCTGAAACTGTAGGGCATACAGTGCCATGATGCTTCAATACATGTAAGAAACCATCACAGAACCTCCGAGCAAGAACCCCCTCGGACATGGTCCTACTTAGGAGCGAGCCCTGAAATCCAAACGTGTACAAGTATTCAAGCATCATAGCAATCCACGTGCACCTATCAACCGTGCTTGTGCTACCCCAGCGCCATTTGTCTTGGCACAAACTCGGTAAGGGAACCAATGACAGCATCGCTAACACAACAGCTGCTGATCTTAAAGCTGGGGACAGGCTGTGGTATCAAGCTAGGGGACTTGGTCCCAATGCACATGAGCGAAGCTTTGAAGGAAGGGTGAATGCCCCACACTGGCACTGACACCGACGTCCAAAGGGGAACCTTGAATGACTGCCTTGCAAAACTAGTCTTGCGCCTCCCGAACTCTGTGTGTGAGACAGATCCCATAGCAAGATGGCCACGTCTTGGATTTGATACGAAACTTAGGCTGGCAAGCGCATGCAATAGACACTGTGTGCCCGGTTGAGTGAGCCCAACAGGATGGGACACGGTCGTAGCTATACGTGTTCATAAAGAGCTGCTTGCGCAGCTAAAGCGTAGCTACTAGATGGGTTTGCAAATCATAAGCTCGCAAGATATATGGTCATACATCAACTAACTTGCGGTGAACGGTGTCCTTTGCCAAATCTTTTGCAAGCTTATCCGCACGGGCGTTGCCCTCCGTGAGGAAAGGCGCTTGAGTGGTATCATTAAGACTAGGATGAGCAGCAGCTTTGATCATGTTAACAGAGGCTCCATCACGTCTGTGGACTTCTTCAAGAAAGCAATGCCATAAATCATAATTGTATATAATTGTCAAAGGCCACAATGTCCTGAACCCTATACCCAGAGCCTTTTAAAGAGGAAGCCCTGTTGACACCTACTGGGACCGCAGAACCGCAGAACAGCAACCGTGCCTGCAGTGCGTTGTGACGCGCGTGCCAAAGCCCAAAAAACCGTCCCCTAAAGCTGGCTGTATGGCCATGCAGGAGGCAATAGCTCCATTTCCAAAAGGATAAAGCTTAACCACTAAAGATACACACACACACAAAACCCAAAACTCCTCAAACCTAAACCCCCTTCTGTTTGGCCATGCAAGTGGCAAGAAAACCCGAATTCCTAACAGCCTTCCAGGCCTTCAAACCCTAAGGCCACAATGAATCTCCAAACCCTGAGGCCCAGGCGGCTTATAACATGCCTGAAAGCCCAAACCCCAATACCTAATACGACACTCTAGCACTAAAACCTGCAAGTCTCAAACAGTCTAAACTGTGAAGCACCAAAGACACCCCATACCCAACGCCCCAAAACCCTGAACCCTAAAAACGGTAAAAGCCTTAAGCCCTCAATCCCCTTGACCCTAAGACCCCTATACCCAACACCTTCCTCGCCGCAAATCCTAAAACACACACATCCTAAAAATTCTAAACTCTACACACCCTAAGCACTGAGGCCTCTTCCTACCGTGTTTGGAAAGGTGTTGCCACAAGTGATTTCGCGCGGCATTTAAGGGGGCATCCAGGAGGAATGAAGTGCCAAGTCTAAGTTATGTGGCGAATGACGGTATTTCAGTCGCAGGTGTTTCTGTTTGTCAACGGGCTGTGAATCAAAAACGGCGGCTTGGGCGGATATTCGGCGACATAGGCTGGTAACAGAATTGCCGGCTTGCGACAAGCACCTCTGTGACAAGCCTTTTTTTGTGGGGCATGCCCTTACCAAGCATTCGCGAAAAGGTGTGTAACAACAGCCGCACAAGAAGGTATGTAACAAGGGGGCCGCTACGAAACAGATTTTTGACAGTCGTGAATGACGGACTTTTTTGCAATCGCGAGCCATGTGTCGGTCAGTGTGAACCATTGGCAGGTATTCAGCATTTGTTTGTGATCGCAGGATTGTAAACTTGCTGCGCAACTCCAACAGCTACCCTTTGCTCTCTACCACGCCACTATAACTGGAACATGAAAGGTGGAGCGATCTTCCCTAATAGTCGCATCGACGGTGCACCAGCAACCGGTTGCGGCATTGATTGACGAGGCCACGCAGCCAAGCGGTCTCGGTGTTGTCGGGTGTAAGCAGCTTTGTGCATAGCTCTGCCGGCACAATGTGCCTCTGCGCATATGGTGGGTATACTTCGCTAGTGCAGAAGTCCCTTGAGTCTTGAGCCCAGCCAAGCAACTTACATGGCATGTGGCTGTAGGCTTGTAGCTTCATTCATAGATATGTGGGCAACTTAGTCTCGCTAACGGTGGTTGCCAGATGCGACTCTGGAAAAAGCTCCGGAAGTTGTGACTTGACTTGCTGCGGAGAGGCTTCTGCAGCACGGATAAGCACCTCAAGCCCGCAGCTCTTTCTACAAGATGCGTGAGGACCACGGCTTGATGGGGTTGAAACGTAATGTGACTGTCTAAGCAGATGATGTTGCAAGGAGGCCCCTGCCCGGAAACACAACAATCGCTTGTTACTTTCACGCTTCTACCTGGGCCTACAACTGTGACTGGTAGCTCCTGATTTCTGACTACCATTTCGGCGGTTTTCCTTCCCTGTTCTGTTTGGGCACCATGCCCACCACCAGGGCCCACCAGCAAATCCTCATCTGCATGAGGCTGAAGTTGTGAAATACTGTCTCGATTCCTTCAGGATGCTTATGACTGGTGAGGACGGAGCCTTGAGTTAGGAGAACTGGACAGCTGCCTGTTGATCATGTTGCTGCGACATCCCCTCTCTGTTACCAGAACAGGAACCGTGTCCAGGACGATTCAGGCAGCTGGAGGAACCCAAAAACTTCTTCAAAAGAAAGGCCGATACAGTGGAACCAACGCAAAGCACTTCGCAGGCTCTGGACATCTCTGGACTCCAGAGGCCTGGACAGAAATGAAACGATCTAAGACTCAGAAGACCTTAAGTGGATCCGTAATAGCGCCTGGAATGGAAATGGAGCATCCAGACACCAGAGAGACAGGCAGCCTTCTCGGCGACCCCAGCTGTGACAGCTAGCAACTCGGCCAGAGCGGCGCTAGCGGGAGACGACAGTCAGATCGACCTTTGCTACAGAGGCGACCCGCTGGAACCCAACCACCCAGATGCAGCTAAAACCAACGCCTCTGGCACCTTCGACACGGCCCTTCGCAGAATCATGGGAGAGGCAGGAATGAAGGAATGACAACCACATATCCACAGAATGTCCGCTACGCTGCGAGTCGAGGCAGAAAGACACGAGAGTCTGATGACAATGAAGCACCATGACGAGGAGACCTCGACGGAAATTGCAACTTCCCAGGATGCGCAGATTTGGGGATGGGGCAGTGCCCGCTCAACATCGGCCCTTGGAAGACAGCGGTGAGGTCAGTAAGGACCGGAATCGTGATCGCCCTGAGAGCATGACGACGGCATCGGATGAACCAAGATGAGGGGGCGATGGCACTGACATGAAGGAGCGCGATAAGGAGCAAATCAAGGAATGTGAGCAGGATTTAGACATTCAACAGCACCTTGATCCAGAAAGCTACGAAGCAAGCCTCACATGCAGGACCAGACCATCCCGGTGGAACCCTAGTGGGTGAGGGTGCAGTGATGGAAGCTGCATCGCAACAGGAAGAAGTCCAGAAGACAAAGAAAGGGAACTGGATACGTCTTCACCTTCGGGCACTACGCCACCAAAGCCGACACCCGATGGCCGAGCCGACTTCGAGCCTGCGGTGTAGTAGAGAGAGGGAAGTAATTTTGGAAACATTGGGGTTGCTTTGCCCCGACTCGCAGCTTGCTGAAAGGTGGCAAGCTGAAACGGCAGGACAAGCCTAGTTTATGTCCCAGATTGAAGTCTCCGTTCTTCATTGTAGGTTGCTTATGTTTGACTGTAGCCCTAGGAACCTTTTGATGGCTGGGACACAGTAACCCCTTGTGGAGACTCAGAACCAACAACCGCTGGAGAACGATTTGGGCTACTTATTTCATGGTGCATGGTGTTGTAGCCGATGTTTGTGTTGATCGTGGAACCAGTGGTGCCCGAGTTCTCCCGACTTGGACGTTGTTGTTTGCCCATTCTGATTTCAGTTCTTCTTCGTTTTCCATAGGTCTTGCGGAACCCACTGACAGCTCGCGTTGTTTCACGTGACACCCTCTTGACGGAACCGACGGGTATGGCCTTATGGCCAGGCGGCTCTGCCGTCAGTCCCCGGAAGCAATCCGGAAGCAGAGCCATTTGCAGTTTGTGGAGACGACGCATGAAATCGCAGACCCAGAACCACCCACAGCGTTTCTGCGCTTACGCATCATGTTGCGCGAGTGGAGAGAGGCACCCGACTTAGGAGCCACCCAGCCGCAAGATTCGTCGGGAGCAGACACCAGCAGAGACACGTGCCTGCCGGGACATATATAGCCCATACCGCATCTGACCGCAGAGACGCGGAGGAAGATGAGGGCGCGGAGGACATCCATGCAGCGGATACCTGACGAAATGGAGACCCATGGAGCGCCCATCCAGCCCGCCGCCTGCATGCCTGGCACAAAACAGGGGATGGATGGAATCTCATCGCTCCAAAGCTGGAGGGATGAGGAAACTCGAGCAGCCGACACAATGGAAGATGTCTCTGGAGCAGAAGTAACAAGTGTGGGCATGCTCACTTCCCCTGAAGAACCGAACCCCCCGGACCCCAAAGAACCAGAAATGACACTTGTCATGTAAGATCTGAAATCTGTGTATTCTGTAGGGGTATTGTGACGCGCTACATGACTCATGTACTGTCGGGGCCAGAACGACTTTCCCATCGATCGTGTCATGGCAGTTCGACCGCCGTATAGTTTTGAGGGAACCCGCGACAAGCTGCACAATTCATCCTCTAGGGCAGGAGGTGGGATCGTGCTTGTAGAAGAGGAGAACAAATGACGTATGAGGAAATCCAGATTGAGCTGCAGCTCGTATATCAACGGAGGAAATAGTATGTGAAGCCGAAAGAGAGACAGGACATAACAGTGCATGAGAGAGTATGGGAAGGTCAGAAGGCCAGCTGAGCCTCCTGCGCATGGTCACCATGGTTATCAGCCGCAGGTGACGAGCAGGGGACCTGTGACACGCTGTATGGTGACCTCTTTCAGGGCAAGCTGACCAGCACAAGAGGGGTTGACAGCAGGTGGACTCATGAGTGCCGGGGAGGGGGTAGTTCAGAAGATGCTTTCTTATCAGCGTGACTGGGCTGTGAATGCGGAATCCATTGTTTCCTGGTGTTTTCGGGCCAGACATTACACTTTTGGAGGAGATGCTATGCGCGCAGAAGACAGACAGAGGCTGTCCTTCTTGTGCACGCTTCGAGTCAAGAGAGTCCCTCTCGTCGAAGACTTTCCAATCCAAAGAAGGCTCTTCTTCCAGCTGTTGCATGGCATGCCATGTAAGCATAGCCATCGCCACCAGTATGCGCACATCAGGCCATCTTTAACTCAAGGAGTCTGCGGTCAGCCATAGACACGGGCTTGTGTGCAGGACTTGGGAGTTCGTGCTTCCCCGACCTGGCAGCGTCCTTGTGCAGCTTCGTGCCGTCAGGGGAGCTCGCGACTTCCTTCGCGAGGTTTCACGAGCAGACCACGCATCGCTTTGGCCGTGTCAAATCTACTATGGGCCGTCCTCAGATGTCTAAGATTCTTTGGACATGCTCGTTATGCTAGCAGTACTTGGCCTTTGAAATGCAGCAGCTCAGCAAGCCGGTGTACAGTCAGGCTTTGCTTGTTGCGACCTCTGCATCGCAAGGGGGAAAACGGGCAACGCCATGCAACCTTAAATCATCGAAGTCGTCATGCTGTGGGCATCGTAGCGGACCGCTTATCAACGTTTACTACGCGCCTGCGAACGTAGGTAGGGGCCTGGAGGGTCGACATGCAGTAGATTGAGCTGCGCAGAAGCCTCATGCTGTTATGTAGTTAGCAGTCCGTATATGGTCTGCATCAGAAATCATTTCCTTGTTTCCTTGAGCTGAGACGTGGGCAGACATGATGCTGCTAGGCTCAGACGTCAGAAGAGAAGTTCAATCTCTCAGCACAGGACAAGAGGGATGTACCGTTCGAGGGTGCCCCTAAAAGCAGACGCTAAGAGGCCTGAGTCCTGGGCCTTGTTTTTTGTGACCCGACTACTTAGGGTACATATGCCTCGTTCAGCCTTTTATTTAATGCATTTTAGTGCATGCACATTTGCTGGCCTCAGAACACAGTCCATGCTTCAAAAAGGGCACATACGATATGAAGGCAATCGAAGATCGTGGCCTGGCCAATTCTGAAGCTTTGAGGGCTGCTAGTGCCTGACTCACGTTGCTGCCGCAAGGAGATTGCCAAAGGCAATCGCATTATCCAGAACTTGCACCAGGTGTCAAAGGACGCAAAGGCGCATCTCTTTTTCGCAACTTCTGCTGATGCATAAGCTGCGACGCATGCCAATCACACCCTGCGCAAGGCAAAGCTGCGACTCAAAGCTTCGGAGCTCATGCAGCATGAAAAGCCACGACCCCAGGGCGGGTAAGCATCAGACTGGCGCAGGTCGGCATCTCGAAAGACCCGGTCGGAGATACAGACGTTTTTGAGAGCTGTAGAAATGCAGTGAACGCGCTAAGAGGAGTTATATGGGCCCAGGACACGGCTAGAGCTGGAGAAGGCCGACTTCAATCCACCAATTGTGGCATAGAAGACAGACAGGTAAATTTGTTAGCACAATCTTGATGCAAATCTTGTGCAGGTCAAGTAAAGGGCGGGTGGTCCCAAACCCATTGTCTCGCGCTCCTCGCCCACTGATTTTCTCCTGCCAGCTTGTTCCAGTTCGTAGGCAGAGGAACTCAAGAAGCACGCTCTCGAGGAGAAGGGCAATGAGCTGCAGCCACCTCAAAAAGTGCTGCGGACAGTAGACGCTTCGTGATCATATTCTCGTATCTGTTCCTAGTCACGCGAGGTTGAGAGGAAAGGTCTTGAACTCAGTTGTGAGAGGGGCGTGCCTGATGGCGCTGGTACAGGGTGAACCTAGCACATCACAAGTGTCACCAGCGGTAGTGCCAGTAAGCCGACAGGAGTCTTCGTAGGAAAGCCAGCTGTTAGCCGCTGTTGGCCCTGCCCGAGACAGCAAGCGCTTGACTTTGTGGGGGCACTTGGACAGGTCTGCAGTTTTGAATTTGAGGCCCGGGAAGAGAAGCTGCAGCAGGACATCGAGGACCTGAAGCGAAAGCTGGTGGCTGCCTTACTTTGCAATGTCAAAGGCAGCCAGAGGGTAACATCACCAGGCCGAAGCTCATGATGTCATGAAATCCAACCAGGAGGTGTGCCTCTCTCGATCTGCCTGCAGAATGATCACGAGCATTCTCATGAGGTGTGTGTACCGTAGGGCTGACAGTGTGGTGTTCAACTGGACCCAGCATTGGCTCAATATGTAGATTCTAAAGTCGCACCAGCAAGCCTGTCGAACCCGCTCAGCAAAGGCTACGGCATGCGAAGACAAGCACACAACTAAGTGAAGCTCCAAGTCAGACAACTATCGGGAGAAATTGCCATGGCCTAATCTTCTGCTGAAAGCAAAGCATGGAGCCGTGGCTTGGAGCACATTTTGACATCCAGCGTAGTGGCGGCAAGGAACAGTGAGCGTAGGCCTCTGCACCACTGACTTTGTAGGTGTGGAACCCTGTCGTTGCCGGCCCCGCTCACGATAAGGGCAGCTGCGATTGCAGCGCGCGGGAGCAAGGCAACTGCCATTATGTTTTGTAGAAGCCTTTCAACAAGCTTCAGTGAACCCTTCTCTTCTATCTCAAGACCCGGGTCTCCAGAAGCACCAGGCTGCTCTGCCACCCACCTACCGTCAGCAGGCCGGTTGCTCAGAAATTAAAATGGTGGATCTGCGTATTACAAGATTTGCCGCAAGTCTCCATCCTTCGAGTGATGGCAAAGGTTTTCATATAGTCATAGCTTTCCATAAGGGGTTTGGCAGATGTCGAAGAATCACCATAGCAGGATGGCGGCCATGTAAGTACGATTTCCTGAGGCTGTCGCAGCAGTCGAGGCAAGACGGCCAAGATGGGCATCTGCTGGTGCGGCGGCTACTTGTACAATGGTCGGCCTGGCTATGCACGGGGGCATCCGTTTTCAGGGGCGCCGAAGGCTTGGTGATGTTCAAAGTGGAGCTGACGTGTTACACCGTGGTGTCATTCAATGAATGCAAGGCTGTCTCCGCTATGCCGTGCTGGCAGACGAGGGGCAAAGGCACGTTGCAGGAATGTGAGCTCGCCCCTCGCGCTTGCTACTTGCAGTGCTCTGCATGCGGAGCTGTTGTGTGAACGACAACTACACATTCTGATCGTTTTGATGCTGAAGTATCCAATACAGCCAGTCGTCACAGATAGCAGGAACGAGTGCCTGTCAGCCTACGCAGGCTGCTGCTGCCTCCAAGTATTATGAAGTTGTTCCCCGTGAAGGCCGCATGCGCCCTCGCCAGCCCCAATCCCGTGTATTTCACGCGTAAGACTTGACATGATTTTCAGATTGTGTCATCAGATTTAGAGTAGTTCATGTTTGGACCCGTGATCTAGAGCCAGTTCGCCAAAAGCCTGCTTCATGTCAAGCCAGGCTGCGCCTTCGGTGCTTCAGTCCGGGGCTTCAGTGTCAAAGATGTGCTGGATGACGCAGCTGCTATGGAACAGATCCGTTCGGTCGCTGAGCTGTTTTAAAAGGAGACTCAGGAACATCCACAGGCTTCAGTCATGCCAAGGAATATTCTCCTTGTAATGCCTCAAGAGCATAGGGTGAGCTCCAGATGCTAGTAGGCGGACCGACCTTCCGCCGGTTTGTTGAATAGCAATGCTGCGCAGTTAGGAAATTAGCCGGACCATCCAAACCGCGCATGCCACATGCTTCTGTTGGCTTTTGCCGCTACCCAGGACATGTACAAATATCGCCTTTTGATTTTCCATGGGCAAACAGATCTTATGCCAGATGATCATATCAAGCTGAGTCCCTTCGCAGCATGACTGAGCAGCCTCGCTTCAACAATTGTCGATCCACGCTTCAGCTGTAAAAAGGGTGTAAGACCAGAGTGCAAACAGCTGCCTGCAGGCGAGCATTTGGGGTCCCTGGAGCACATCCTGCACAGACCGCACCCCAAGTCACCAGACCCACGGCTACTTCGTGTGGCCAACGATGACCGGGAAGGCTCTCAGCCTGCCATGCATTCAGCCGATGTGTGCGCTGACGAGAGGCTTCATGTCTGTGGGCACGAGTGGCTGGCACGTTGATGGCGTGATGTTGCAAGCACCGAAGCTTCGTCGCAGTTCGCAAGTGCAGGAGGGCTTCTTCAGTAATGTTCGGGTTTCAAGCGCATGGTGCCATGATGTGCCATGACGAGTACTTCATCGTCAGGCCAGAGCAAGTAAGTATCAAGAGTACGCCGCTGCCAGAGGTTTGCCGCCCAGACCATGCACCACTTGTGCCGTGGCACCGAGAGACACTGCCTCAGGCCAGTTGCATGACCAGAAAGACTATCCAAGGCATGCCATACCTGGTGGGGACACGATGTTTCTAGGCATGAACGAGTTCCTGGAATCTATGGATGAGGACCTTCGTGCACTTTGCGAGCGTCTTTGGTTTGTGCTTGCAGCTGAGTAAAACGGACCGCTCTCTGATGAATTTGTTCTTGTGCATTCGCTTTCAAGTCTAAGCCTCCGTGCATGGCAGCGTGCTGGTTCAGGTCAGGTGTGGGGGAAGATCTGCAGCAAGGCGAAGGGCAGATGTCCCTTCTGCCGTTGGTCTACAAGCACCCTTTCAGCGGAGAGAAGACCATGTGTTTTCACTTGGGTGGCAGCCTCGGTCACAACCATTGACCCCGCATGACCACGCAGAACGCCCTGGAGACACAGATGGTCAGGTCAGACCTACTGCCTGGGATTCGTCGAGGAGCAGCCCCTGAACGCGCTGCTAGATGCCTTTGCCAACGCTACCGGGCTTCAGCTGAACTTTTCTTTCTCACATGATATACGGCCTTTTGGAGCCAAGGTTATGACCCGAGGGGACAAGCTCATGAACGATGCGCGATCCTCTCTGAAAAGGGTCCTTGCAGGACCTGATGACAACTGCCCGTCACAATTTCGGCCACCTGCCTGAATATTAAGTGGGTGTGTGTGTGTGGGACGTGGGGCTTGCTTTGCTGCATTCTCGTTTACCGGGCAGCCAGCATTGCAGTCAGCATTTGCTGAGGTTCTTGCCAGCATTGCCCGTACAGGCAAGCAAGAGCAAGTTGTTGTTTGATCGATTTCAATGATCCCGGCTTGCGCAGATGCTAGGGCCCCTTAGCGAAGCGGCAGGACTGCCTGCAGAAGGCCATTGATGGGATGGATCCAGAAACACGCAGCCAGAGCATTTTGCGAGTGGAGTGGGACAGAGGTGACCTGGCGACCTTGCTGCAAATGTCCGGGCACGTGTCAATTAATAATGCTTCCGAGAGACGCACTGAACGTTCAGCTGGGGCTGGCAAAGGCCTTGATTGATAACATGGGCTTGGCGCATCTTCCAGCCCCTGGCACCCAGTCCTTGCCACTCATCAGTGGACCTGTACATGTGCAAACGTTGATGCTGAGAGAGTCTGTCGCACGCTTTGGATGATCTGAGCTGGCCTGCCGGAGTCTAGCAGGACTTCGAGTCTTCCATCGAACCACAATGGTGAACCCGGAGGCGAGACGCCTTGCCCACTGCAGATATTGGCAGGAAGATCAGCTTGCTGGCATGCCTGAGGCTGTAGTTCGAAATCTTCGCGGTGCACCCTCCGTCCTGCTTGGAGGCCATGTTGTATGTGCCAGTTCTGTTTCAATTCCGTTCAAGGCGGAATCTAGCAAGGGCGCAACCGATGCGTTCTGATCCCATAGGAGGATTGTGGGATAGCGATCACACCAGGCACAAGGCGAGAAGGTCCGGTCTCTGATGAAGCCGTGAATGATCCAGACGCGATGCGCCGCTTGCCTTTGGTCACCTTATCAGGGTTGTTTTGCGAAGTGCTGTACATGTTGTTCTGGAATCTGGGCAGCTTTGAACGGGAGCCCCTCAGGCGACATTCTTCGAGCTTTGATGGCGGCAGCGCCTATTAATGAGGATGAGCTTGGAGGCCCAAGGGAAGCCAGCGGTTTACTGTTGCATACTGTTACACGAGATGCGTTGCAATCCGTCAGTTGTGCATCTGTGTTCCCACATGTCTGTTCAGGAGACCAGCGTGGCGGGGATCTACAAATTCCGAAGGATGTCTGGGCCCTACCGCATGAACTGTCAAGTTCTACTTGCGGTGATATGGGTGTGTCACAACATGTTTGGGTGTGGAACAGGGTGCGCGCGGACATCCGTTCCATGCCCTGATCCACAGGATATGGACAATCAAACGTTTTCTCGTTCCATGTGCCCTCATTCCAAAAGCTCGTCCAGAAGCTCATGAACAGCGGCATGCTTTGGTCCATATTGTATGGATGAACTCCCTCGTTCCATAGGACATGGATCAAAATGTTTGGAGAGGCTAACCAAAGGCCGGAACACCCCCAGATATGAACATTATCAGTAAATCAGATCCATAGATGTGCTCATGAACGTGTGGCCCAACGTTCGAGAATTGACTTCGCAGCTCACAGTCAGACACATCAGCCCTGCACAAAGTTTTTCAAGCGGGGAGCAAGCGAAGCGCTGTGCCTGTAATCAGGTGCCTGCGAGAGAGGAGGCGCTACGGGCACTGGAAGAAGCACAGCAACCCCTGGAGACTGGCTTTGCACTTGCAATGCGTTCAGGATTCAGATTCAGCCGCGCGTCGCAGATGCAGTGCAAGTAAGGACATGCTCAAAGAAGTTGATGCAGAGTTGCAGGCCTCTGCTCAAAGAACAAGCTACTTATAGCTCAGTTGCTCGGACGGCAGAGATAGCGCCGAGTAATGGGGCTGCATCAAGCAAGGCGGCTACCAGCCAGGGCAATGAGACTCTCACAAAGACACTCAAGAGGACTGCTGCCCTACTGCCGCCAAACATACAAGATTGAAGCCTGACCCAAGACTGGCCATGAAGCAGGCTCATGATGGAGTACCATCCCGACCGCAATCAAAATCGAGAGAAGGAGATCATCCCCATATTCAAGCCGCAAGGTCGCAGGGTAAAAACGCGGCAGGGTTCGGATTTTTCGTCTTCGTTCGGCCTGGCAGCCACCACCTTGAAAGCATTCGAGGTATCTGCGTCGGCTGCGCAAAGAGCAGGGGCGTCCGGCTAGCGTCATGGCGCAGACCAAGGCCGCGCATTAAGCTCAGATAACCTGTGCTATGCTGATTTTTTGGGTGATGTCTTCCAAGAAAGCTGCGCGGCTTCAAGTCGAGGATTCCGGAAAAGTTTTGGGTGTAGAGCAAACAGGGGTCCAGGAAAGGCCCACAAATTTGACGTTGTGTCGGGGGCACCCTCGTCCGAATTCGTTTGTTCTTGTGCCAGGGCCGAGTCGTCGACCGCCTGCGCAAGAAAGCTCCTTCACTGCAACCTTTTTGCCAGAGCAAAGCCGACGTGACATGTATGCTAGCATGGACACCTTCAAAATTTCCAGCAAGTGGCACTGCTCCAGGCGGCTAAAATTGCAGTCGGCGCAACCCAGATGCACCTTGTTTCGCTCATGCGAAGGGAGCCCCCTTGCAATGATTTGGTTGGCATTCAGGTGGGTGAGGAAGTGGCTGGATGACCTGATGAGTTTGAGCTTGCATTAGAAGACTTTGTTTTGAGGCAGGCTCCAGAGAAAAAAAGCAGATGGCCTTCGGAACAGCACACAGGCTGACATGTTGATTCGACCTGCATGCCTCTACATTGCTTATCTGACCAAACGCGTTGTTGGCCAATCATTGGAAAGGTTTTCTGCTCAACTGCCAAACTTGTGGAACAAGTTGCCAGAGTGAGCATCCTCACCACCGAACTGTTTAAGTGCATTCCCAGGTGCCTCACAAAGAGTGCTGGCTAACTGGATTCACACAGTGTCACGCGTGTGGGGGCGTGACAGTTTTCCACCACCTCCCACTCAAGGGTATGCAGATCAAAGACGACGTGCCTGTTCCTGCTTTGCAAGGGTATTCAGGCTATTCACTTCAGGAGGTAGGATCGACCCCCGTGATCACCCATGCGCGGGGGCAGCCTGCTTTCCTGCATAGCCTACTGCTGGGTAACAGAGGCATCAGTGTAGATAAGGGTAGCACCGGCATTATGCTTGGCACTGCAGGCAACCCTGGCCGTAGATGACTTGGACTCATGACCCATGTGACACAAACAATCATGGCGAGGATGGCGGTCTGCACTTGGCCTGCAGGTGATCGACTATCTTAACCGACAGCTGACCGAGCGAGACCTCAAGGACGGCCAGCCCGCACATCAATGTGTGGTTGGCTTCAGGATCAACGGGATCAATCTTTTGTTGCACGCACGCTGACTGTAGAGCAGCATTCTAGTGCTGCTATTCAAGGCCTGCACATTATCGGGGTGCGTGTAAGCGTAGGCAATGCAGACCAACCCCAGCATCCTCCCCAACTGCCTCATGTAGCTTGGGAACTGAAGCTCTAGGGAGATCGCAGTTTCCGACCGTCTGGACTTTTTATGTTGTGTCCTAAGTCACCAGGACTGCAAACCGTTCGATCGGTGCATGTCAGGAATGACATGGTAAGAAGCAAGGCGCCCAAACTTGGGAAAACAGATCTCTTGCGATTGCTGCAGGCCTTGCCAGGGCCAGCCAGCCCTTGGGCTCCGTCAGCCGCGACCTTCAAGAGTTCATTCAAGCGATCTGAGATTTTTTCAAAAAGCCCGAGGCGGTTGCATTCAGACTTGACAGTCACTTACCGGGTATTAGTTTGCAGTTGTGCGATTGTTGTCAACTATGGGGCCCAAAAGGGGTTTGCAAAGAAATGTATTTTTGCTCTGTGACTTGGATGCCGGCTTCTGCAACCCAGCAAAATTAGGGAGACCCATGCTCTAATTCGCCCTGGAACAGCTACTGAGGACGCGGCACCTCGTGGCGGTGGCAGCTCGGCACTGTCCGATCTCCTAGGTAGGGTAGAGAGCCCCGAACCCGGCTTCAAGGGTGCATGCATGGGAGGGGCGGGAACGGTTTTTCATTCAGCCATCTTTGTGTCCTCATGCAGACAGTTGTTCTGATTTCATTGAGCAGCGTTGCTGGCTCAATCACGGAGACAGCCGATGGCAGCAACCAGGGTAAATGGACATGTGGGAAGATGCTACCGCGTGCAAGACATGCTTGCCGTGTTCATTCATAAGTTGGGACAGGACACACTTCAAAATCATGATCGCGCTGGCAAGAGAACTCGGCAACTAGACCCATGCCTTATTCACGGCTTGTCTTTGTGCCTTGGCGCATCCGCGAGCCTGATGCTGACACCGCCCTGCCTCCTCGTGGAGGACTCAGCATGCCAAGCTTGACGAATGTGTTGGGACACCAAGCAAATGAGAGCTGACAGTTTCTCAGGGGCACCTTGCTTTTGATGAAGCTTGGTTATGCTTTGAGACAAATTGGCATGCTCCACGCCATGAGGATGATATCTTGGCAGAGACTTGGTCCGAAGACCAAGCTCCGATGGCTGAAGTTGTGGCCTCCACCGATTCTTTTCGGAAACTTGCAAAATGTCGACCTCACGACGGAGATCGTATTCTTGAAATAGGCCTGGTCAGGGGAATCAAGCACATCACGATGATGAGTCAAGCTCACCGGGCGCAAGCCCACTACCTGGATGGGCTCAATTAGCATATAACTACACTTGTAGACGTGTGCCTGCAGAATCCCGCGGAGATTCCAGCTGCTTTTTCAAGCACTTACACTGAAGGCTGCTGCTTCGGACAATGCACAGTCATTCTGGCGGAGCGTGCGGCCGAAGTGCTCGCATTGGACACATCGAAGGAGCTGCCAAGCGTTTCCGTTCCTGAGTGACTTGTGGAGTGCGCAAGGAATGTGTGCAGCTAACTTCGCAGCGGCTGCATGAAGACCAGCTCGGAGACCGTGCACGCAGCGAGCGTTTGGATGTGCTGGCCCATCCAGAACTGCTGCGGAGACATGGCTGAAAAGTGCGCAGGCTGCGAGGGGTCTTCAAGTTGGCCAGACTTCGAGCTGCTCAGGATCCTGGGCTCATGTGACCCACCGTTTACTGTGGTTTTCGCGGACATCGGTGGCAATCGTGAGCTGAATCATGTGGTGGAGCTGCGCCTTGCTTGGGTCTTCCTAGAGCTGCAGTTGTGGACCCTCTCTTGAATTTGTGGCCGGGGGGCTGATATCAAGGCTGGAATTGTTGAGCCAGACTATGCCAATGCTGAGCTACGTAGCCGTTAAGAGCGAAGCTTTGGCAGAGGCCAGGGCTCGCCGAATGCTAGGTTTGACAGGAAGTAGCCGGAGGTGATGCTCGTGGATGTTTGTCTAGTGCTGACTTTGAGAACCCGTGCAGACGCTGGGGAGAGCACCGCTGGAAGGGTCAAGGCTCACGTGGTGGCAGGCCTCTTTGCACACGGCTTGTTGACACGTCCTCGCCTAGGACGTTAGCAAGCAGTTGAACAAGCTGATGATATGCCAGGAGCTCGCCCAACAAGTTTGCAGAAAGAAGCAGGCTAAGCGCCCGATGCAGCGGATTCTTCAGCGCCCTGTACGCAGGAGGGTACCGATGTCGCAGCTACGCTTGTGGCTGTAGCTGTAAAGCACTCGACACATTGGGGCTGTCGTGAGTTGCGGGAGCTCATGGAGCGATGCAGAGCTTGATCTGTTCTTCCAGGACTCCCGATGGCACAGAGATATGCAGGTTTGCCAATTATGCAGAGTGTTCAAAAGGAGAGGACTGAGGTGGCTACAAATTACAGAGTTGCCAGCAGTAAGCCAGCTTGAAATTGGCTGTCTGCCGACTGAGCCAGGACTGCAGGTATGACCACGCACACTGCCATTGCTGTGGCGCTGTGGGGCATTATGCGCGGGATTGCTTGCGTGTAGAGGACGAGACTCGGGTCTGTGAAGCTGGCGTTCTACGTGTGAGAGTTGGTTGTGAATGCTAGCAATACTTTCTGCAACAAACGGGAGGGGTGGACATGGAAGTGTTGAAGTGCAGAGAGACTTCACTTCACACGCTGCTCCAACAAATGCACGAAAAAGAAGCAGAGGCCCAGGCCTGATTTCAGCCGTCAGTGTGGGCGGGTTCTCACATTACCAAACTTCTTCCGCTGCATGAGGAGACGGATGCCCTCGTTGGAGAATCTACCTACAGCCTCTGTTCACCAGTTGCGCAACGATTGTACAGCGCACTGACAGCTGGCGGACGACAGTTGCCCAAAAACAAAGCTGAAGCAACTGAAGCATATTGAAGCAAGGGTCTCGCGACCCTGATGCGGCTCAATACAGCATCAGCAACCTTGAACTTAAGATCGCTTTCCTTGGCACAGCCTATAACCTAGCCCACCAGGTCAGTGACACATGTAGTCCTTTGTAGTCCGACTAGCAACACCATGGACCTGCAACGTCAAAGTCCATGTGCAAGATGTAGCGTGTGCTACAGAAGTGAGCAGCAAATAGGTCTTGGACTGCAACAGCCACGGGCGAGTACTCACTCAAACTCAAAGTAGGTCTTCATGGCGTCTCGCATGCGCCTATGCTGTCAGCGATGCTCTTGTCAGCTTGGCGGGTCTCGCAGTTTTCGGGAAGCGCGGCTGCATACTTGTACGCCCACCGCCCATCTTGACGTGGTTCTCATGGGTTCAGGCTCAGCTGGGCCATTCAGCCGATCAACGGACTTGTTCTATTGCTGTTGTAGTTGCTGTAGCCAGTGTTGCACTGTTGTAAAATGTCATGGCCTCCATTCAATTTAAAAGCCACGGGCACTGGTTCGAGTCACCAATGCTGCTTACTATTGGAAGTCCCGCAGTCCGGCTACTTCTTGGGCAACGAAGGAGCTGGTCCTTCCTGTGGCTCGACGAAGGCACGCAACGCTCACGGAACTGGCCTGCCGCCATGACTTGCAAGCTTTGTTATCGTTTCTTCCTGGTTTCTGACTGTGGCATGGGCTTGTGGTGCAGTAGCCCCAGGTGGAAAAGATCATGGTGCCTACATTTCTCCGATCCTCCATGCGTGGTTGTGGTTGAACTAGCATCACAAAAGCTCATGCATATTCTGAGGAACATCGGGACGATGGTGCATTCAAACGATACCTACCTGGACCTAAGACGGGAGGGCTTCACGTCAGCCAGACTGCTTTGACTAAGCTTGCTGAATCATGCACGACGCGTGGAGTCAATGTTGGCTGCGAGAGAGACGTCCCAGGTTCGCAAGAGGATCTTTTATTGCCTGGCGCAGACATGAACGAGTCCGAGAGTCTGCTCTGGTGAAAGAATCAATTCGAAACCTGTGGCCTGGATGAAGTTTGGCAGTGATGCATTTGGGAATCATGCCAGGTTAGTCTCACAAACTTTCCAGGTATGAATTCCTGGACGTCGTTGGGGAAGGCCGGCTTCTCCATCAATTGCAGTTGGCCTTTGGCGCAGCAAGCTCTCTGGACCAGGCGGCTTCGGTACAGTTCACCGCGCAAAGCATCGTCGAACAGGTTTCCAGGCTTTGTAGAGACATGCAGAGACAGCGGCTTGGTAAGTGTGGTCAGGCCTCAACAATCCTCGACTGCAAGCTGCGGTGAAACCGAGGTGAGATCGTGGCCATCAAGAGCATAAGCAAGGATAAGCTCAAGGATGAAGAGGCGCTTCAGATGGAGGTAGAATTCCTTAAGCTTCTCGGCAACATTTGACGCAAGAGCTACTTACCTGTGCAGCGTTACCAGCTGAGAAAATCACCGTTTTAGCCCCCAGCCATGAGAACGAGCGCGTTCAGCGCTAACGTCAACCGAGTCGCTGTGAGAGAGAGCCGCCAGCCATGCGGCAGCTGGGCATAAGCCAGCCCACTGCAAAAGCCCGATCAAAATTGAGATCCGGAGGGGGGCCTCCCACTCCTCCGCCTAGGACCCCCTACAAGGGGGAGACTGGTGGGATCTGCCAAAACGGTCCTGCAAGAACGTTGTTCAGTTGTGTCTGCCAAATTCCGCCCGGAAGTCCTACGCACATGTTCTACCGTTCTCCTTACATTATTCTGCCGCAGGTTCTGTAGTGCACTATGCTGTGGGTGAGTTTGTGTTCAGCAGACGCCCGTGCAAACTCCTTCCAGGCAGTTTTAGCTTTTGTTCCCATGTTCTCAAGTTTTCGGAAGCATTTACCGCATACCCCGCGCTGCTGCAACCTTCAGGCTGTCAGATCATCCAAATACGGTCAGATATTACGAAACCTTCGAAGATGCGACATGGCGATAATTTTGCTCATGGAATTACGCTTCCTCGCATCTTCAGCAACAATGTCAGTGTTACAGGCAACGGCCATTCACCTCGTGATGGAGTTATGCTCTGGTGGATCGTTGGGCCAGTACATTGAGAGCCTTGTCGACAAGTGAGCATCTGAAGAGAGACGGCTTCATGCAGATCCTTTTGTGCTGTGTGCTGTCTGCTCGTCTTTGCTAGCTTTGTCGAAGCTCGCTTGCAGCCAAGCTGTGGCTAGGCAGGGGAATAGGCCACCCCCCTGCCAAAGCAAAAGCAGCCGCATGTGGTGTTGTGGATGAATTTGAAGGCTCATGGAGGAACATTCCAGGTTGGAAGAAAGTGCTGCAAGAGTGCATGTGCTGTGTATAGCCTCTGACAGGCTCTGCAATGCAGTGCAATGATTCACGGTGGCTTCTGGTGGCTCATGTTTCAGAGCGTAAGCAGTCCAGCGTATGAGGTTCAAAAAGCCGACGCTTTATTTGTCAATTCACCTTTAACAGTTAACACTGAACACCCAATTCAGCACTTGTAAGTTGAGGTGCGATGGTGGTATGGAAGCTTCCTGTTGTTGGCATGTTTTGCCTGTTGGGCACCCGAGCCCCCGGCTAAGAGCCTTTAGATGGCGGTTTGCCAAGGCATTTGCTCACGCAGCTGCTTCCCACTTGCTTGGCCAAAGCTGGGTGCTGTCATGTGCTATCACGTGTCTGGCATTTGTGTTCTGCTTGGGCCACCCTGCCCAAGGACTGCCCACGACTCCTATGGCCCAGGCGTCACCGAAGATGAGCTGGCGCGCATTGCTGTGCAGATCTTGCAGGGAATAGCGTACTGCCATGCTCATTCTGTGCCTTAGCCAGATCAAGCCTCTGCAAATCTCTGCAAGTTACGCTGGATACCCGGCCTTTTGACACATTCTAGGCTTAGACATCCCCAACACCATCGATACCACTGTCGATCCATGTTGACGCTAAAATCCCACATGAACACGACCCTAGTAGTTTTTGCTTTGGGTATTGTGCGCTGGTGTCTCAGTATCAGCAATGTCGCATGCGATCCAAAGAGCCCTATTCTTCGGGTCGTGGGGCTCAAGCCGACGCTTGGATTGAGGCTTGTGAGTTCTGTTGCCGGCGGGGTGGTCACGGTCGCTCGGGGTTCCGGTCCTATCCAGAGTGCAGGGTAGGTCTTTCATGCCCTTCAACCCTGAAGTGCTGAACACATCTGAACATTGAGCATCTCTAAACCTTAAACGTTAGTTGACAACGGAATGATCTTTTCCATTTTTTTTGTACGCTTGGCTATCGTCGCTCGATGTTTCTCGGCGTCGCCTGCCCGCCGTCGCCTGCCCGGCGTCGCCTGCCCGGCGTCGCCTGCCCGGCGTCGCCTGGCGCCGCCCAACAAGATTCCCGCCACGCTCTGTGAGGAAATCTGGGCATCTGCAACACCCTCGTGCTAGTAGCCTTTTGAACGCAGCAGCATTCCAAAACAGTGTTGGTGCAGAAGTACTTTAAGGCCGGTCAAGCAGTTGGGCACGGGCTGCCCAAGCGTGCATCACCACCTCCATTCTCCACCATACAAACAAGTCAACAGGAATGTTAGCAGAGAATGCTGCGTTATGGTTGAGCCTCCCTCAAACATTTGGCACATCAGATGAGCCGTTGTGGGTCCGCCATGTGCGTTAAGAAGATGTACATGGAGGGTCATGTTTCGATAAATTAAGCCCAGTGTCTGAGCACAAGCCATAGGCGCGTGTGAAGGCATGGCGATTTCTGAAATGCTCTTGGCTTCAAGCTTGGGGAAATGCTTTCCAGCCATGCCGGGCGTCTGGCTGTCATCAACGGGAGATCTTGAATCCTGGAGGGCCTTTGGTCCGGGCGTGGGTGTTTATCTAGAGATAGTCCCATTTGATGGCAGCCACACCCGGCAGGGAACCGCACTTGCGAAAGCGCTGGCCATCCATCCTGAGACATTAGAAGGTCAATGGCTGGAGGTTTCGTTCCTTGCGGTGTCTGACTCAGATCTCGAGTGGTGGCTGAACCACAGAGGGGAGCTCCAAGCAACTGGGAATTCGACCTTCATCTGTGCCCCGGCAAAGAACGTGCGTGCAAGGAGAAAGAACCAGGAAGATCTCTTGATTTCCATACGGACAGGCTTCGTCAGATCTACCTTGGCGACCTCACTGATCAAAAGACTGACTGGTTAAACGGATCAGGAACTCGACAACTTGTTCAAGAAGAGGTTGCCAAGATGGCAGCCGCTGAAGACAAGCCGGCGACTTCTTTCGCCGTAGCTGGCAAAGGTCTTACATTTTAACCGCCTCGTGTCAGGGAGCAGTCCGAAGGTGATGTTGGAGTGCTCCGGGCATTGTCTGAATTGGACAAGGACCTTCACAGTCCAAGGGGTCGGAAGAGACGGCCTAAGGCGGATGATGTGGACAAGGGAGGCCAGCCAGACGGAGGCGGAAGAAGAAGAAAAGGCCCTCGCCCCACCGAGGGAGGACGGTGGTTCGGGCAACAGGCGCACCGTGTGGGCCGGCGGTCTTCCTCGTCAGCATCCCAGTCCACTCGGGCTGGTGAGGACAGTGAGATTCCTGCAACAAAAAGGTGGCGGAAGAAGGATAAGGTCAGAACACCAACAAACAGCGGCAGGGCATCAGATCGTGGCCCCTTTGGAGCAGGGCGGAAGGTCACCCATGATGACAACATCGAAGTTTCTTCGGATTCAAGTGATGAAGGTTCTGTTTTTCGCGAAGGCCCCTCCTCCGTCGGCGGCGGGAAAAGCCTGCAGATTCAGCTCCGGGAATATTCCCAGAAGCATCCCGGACGGCTTGCTGCTCGGCTTTTGCATGGTTTCGAAGGAGGGGGGCCGGTCAGTCCAACGACAACATCAATGCCGCCCGTAGCGACCAACTGGGTTCTCACCGTGCTCATGCCGCTTCACAAGGCTCTGACAGGTCGACAAATTCGCGAAATGCGGATGCTGGACATGACGCTAGATCTCTATAGCCGCGCCAGACCACTACAGCGCAGCGGACTTTCTAGCGCAGAGGCTCAAAGCGTTGGAGTTGAGCATGAACGACGGGGGTTGGAGCAGGGCCCAGTTCGTGGAACTTTTGGATCCGGAGGGCCCCACACTTCTGCACAGGGACGAAGGTGATGGCTTCCAAGGAGCTGTCCGCCGAACTGAAGATGAGGCAGCTGCAGTTCGGGAAGGGCGATGGCAAAGGCAAAGATCTGAAAGGAAGCAGGAAGGGCGAAAGGGGAGATCAGGAAAGAAAGGGCGCAACTCAAAAAGAAGGGTTGGGGAATCACCCAAGCCCCCCTAGAGTGAGTCCGCCCGTGGGCGAAGTGAAGAAGGAGAGCGTTGAGCCGCCGTGGGCGAGAATTACGAGGATGGTCTCCCGCCCACGGGCGAGTTTGGGACAGGAGTGGGCTTGGATGGTTTTCTCGATGTGGATGTGGGCGACTTGGGTGAGAGTAATGATGAGGGATTCCCCAGTGGCAGTGCTTGGACGACTGGCGGAGCAAGATTAGGAGGTCGATGACTGACAAGCATTGACAAACCTGGTGCCCAGATGATTGGAAAGTTGCTTCTGGATTGCGTGCTGGGGGCTAGAACTCCCTCGGGAAGCTTCGTGCGACAGCATTCCAATCCAGAGAGACTGACCCCGGGCGACGAGCCCACTTCATTGGATGAAGGGAGGCGGCGTGGCGACGCTCTTCCTTTTCACCCGGCCAGTTGGTCCCTGGCGTGTGGGTCCAGGTGATTGTCTGCGTTCTCCACTTCCTTTACATTCCTTTACTGTGTGGGATGGGCGAATGCCGTCTGCATCCCCATCCCTCAGAGCCTGGGGAGGGCCCAGCTGTCAATCGTCAGCCGCGTTTGCAATCAGGTGGAGCGATTCACGGCAAACATCGGTCACATGAGCACTGCGCCCGAGGCCATCAAAAATTTGAAGTCAAAAAGTTTTGATTATGCCGGGCAGCCTGTAGAGCATATGTTGGAGCTGGATGCTGTAAAGGTAATTGCAGCCTGGCCAGAAGTGGGGCATGCCGGCGTTGTTGACTTGAAGGATTGCCTTCCTCCTGATCTCGCAGAAAGCCTTGATCATCCTGAAAATTTCTGATTCCCGAAGGCTGAGCTGCCAGAACGCCATCGAGGATCAAGAGTTTGGTCCTCGGACATCGAGTGGGAGAAAATTGTGAAGGCCGGCTATGACGACCGGGGGATGATGGTTGGTGTCAAGGATTCTCAGGTCCCGCTGGACACCTCATCACAAACGGGGCCGGGGCCGTTGCCAAGACCAAAGTGGTTGATGGCGAGCAAGTGGTGGCTCAAAGATTTATAAGCATCCTGTGTCCTACAAACGACGCGATGCGCATGCTTCCCGGCGCGCAGGACACCTTCGCTTATGTAGGCCAGGTGTTTTCAATCCCCGCAGAGCCTCACAATTATCTTGTCATGGACGGTGAAGGTTTGGAATCTGCGTTCAATCTATTTCGTCTCCCTGAGCGCTGGGCCCCACTTCAGCTTCAACAAGAAGGTGAGGGGAGATCTGCCCGGTCTCTGTTCGGAGGAAATGGTCCGTCCTGCCTTGCGGGTGGTCCCTATGGGGTGGACATCCGCTGTCACCCTCATTCAGGCAGCAATCCGGTGCATCAGCTACCGTTGCCATGATCCCCGTTTCAGGTGACGTGGGGAAGACCAAGCCTCTGCCAGAATGTGGCAACCTGACTGTTCTAAATCTCGACAATTTCGATGAAATGCAGAAGAAGAGGCAGGGCGTCCATCAAAGAACCATTTAAAATTCATGGAGGCGTGCGAGTCACTTGGCCTCCCGCGGAGCCTAACTCTGTGGGTGCCTGCGAGGAGCCCTTCAAGGAGGAGTATTGTTAGAGGAGGCAGGTGTTATCAGACACGCTTTTGACAAATCTGCACAGTTGATTGACCTCTCGCTGGGTCTGCTTTCCATGGATTCTGTGTCTGAGTCTTGTTTGAGACATTGGGTTGGGAAGGCTGCATTTGCTGCGGCCTTTAGAAGGCCGCTTTTTTCCATTCTCCAAAAGGTCTTCCCGGTGATCTCCTGGTCCAAATCAGCGAGGGAGATTCGGGTTCAATACCCGTTGTTGATGAGATTCTGGCGTTTGCGGCCTTGGTTCCCCAGCTGAGACAAATCTGAAATCACCCATTTCAAAGGATATCTGTTGCACAGATGCCTCGCCGACAGGCGGTGGAATTTGCACTGCGACGACTGTCAAAAACAAATCCCTTCTGCTTCCGGCCAATGTCGAGACGACAGGGAAATGCCCCATTTGTGATCGAGAACTGGCCAAGGTGAGCTGAGGGCGCGCGTATCCTTGCTCATGGGACTGTGGGGTACAGTGCTGTGCCCTCAAGTGCGCTAGGATGCATGACCATGCCTGTTCTCGGGAGAGGGGTTCTCTGGCCCACGCTTTCCTCGGGCATCTCGACGCAACAGCCCTTGGACCTCAGGATTCAGAGCAACATCTGGGATTCAGGACTGATAAGGGAAAGGCACTCCTGGATGGGTATGAGCGCGCAGGAGATTTGATCTGGACTCCCTGGGCCCCGGAGGGCCAAAGATTTTCTACTTGCTTGGGATCCAAGTTGCTTGATTGCCAGAGGAAGAGTTCTCGAGCACCAGTTGTTTTGCGCAGCTATTCCTGCCACGGGGGTCTCAATGATCTCCGGCAAGCGGACCAGGTGGATGTCCGGCAAGGCATTGCGATGGCAAAGCGCGCTATCAGGGGACTAGTTGAAGCTGGAGAACGCGGGAGGTTTGCCTCTCTCGAGCATCCATTCGGGTTGTTTCTTTGGAGGTTGCCTGAGGCAGCCCCCCTTTACGAAGGAGGATGGTTTTGGTCAACATTTTCAATGTGTTGCTTCGGAGGGCCGTGCAAACGATGGACAACCATCGTTCACAACAGCGAAATTCTGCATAAGTCTCTGCATTACCCCCCACTGTGAAGGTCATGATGGAATCCCAAATTTTGAGACTCATGAGGTGATGGGCCAAATTGACTTTGATGCGGCCTTGGAACATGAATATCCTTGGCACTTCTGTTCGACCTGTACAAATGCCATCAAGCAGGAGGTTGCCGACAAAACCGGAGCTAATCTGTTTCAGGCCCGTCATGTTCGCCTTTTTCCTGATGATGGGGCAGTGGTGATCGCAATTCTTAACGCGAAGACGGGGCGGGGCTTTCAACAAAGTCTCTCACTGCATGAGCCTGATCTTGTCCGAGTGCTACATTTCTTGTGGCTGCGGATCAAACCTGAAGGGCTTATGTTTCGAAGCGGAGCTCCGGCCTTTCGGGAAGCTTTTGCTGCGCTAGTTCGAGCTGTTGGCTTGGAGCCGGCTGCTTTTCTTCCTTACTCCCTCCGCCGTGAGGGCGCCACGGAATTCTATCAAAGCACGCAAAGCCTTGGTCGCACCACGACTTAAGGTAGTTGGCGGGACCAAACCACTGCAAGAATCTACATTCATGATGCTAGATCTACATTGGTTCAACTTCTTTTGCCCTCCCATGTCACCGTACTTCAGCAACGCCTAGCTCGTTTTGGCGGATGGCCGTGCCAAGTTAGCTCACTTGGGCGAGTTGGGTTCGACTGGGCGAGTTGGTGCCATTTGCAAGCTCCTGTGTAAAATTGAGGGGTGGCTTTCCTGCTGGCCATTTTGCTCCCTATGGGCAAGAGGTCCACGGACCGGAGGGGTATGACCTGTACAGGTCTTCTTTCAATCCCATTTCTGGTGCGGATATCTCTGCAGCACCAACTCTGACAACTTTCCAGCCTTTCTGGAGAAAATCCTGCAGCTTGGAGAAAGCAATATCCTTGCTTTTGGCTACTTCGAACCTGTAAATCACAAACCCTGAATCCCTGAATCCGACCCCCAAAACACAAGCCTAGCCGTGCGTACGGTGAGTGTTTGGTTTGGTTTGGTTTGGTTTTTTGCTCTTCTCGAGATTGGCTTCTTCGAGGCTTGGCGCTCGCAGTATACATCACGACTCATGGCCAGCCTCCCCCTCCACAAAGATGCGGTTTGCCAAGGTGGCTCACCGAGACATCAAGCCACAAAATTTGCTGTTCAGCTGTGGGGAGCCGGCTGCAGGAAGCGCTATACCCGTGGACACCTGACTTCCACTAGTGAGTTGTAGATCTTTCAGATCTTTTTGGTGTATTCAACCGCAACTAGTGCCACGTTGCAGCAGTGAGGCTTGTTCTGGCGAGGGGGACGCGCCACTGAAGCTTGTGGACTTTGGTGTTGCAGTCGCAGAGAGATTGAAGGGCAGTGCTTATCAGGCAACTGTTATCTGATGCCTGAGATTGAAAGCTTCCTAGCCTCTGAGGTATAGCTGGAGTGGTGAGGAATGACCGCCCCGAGAAGAGACTTCTGACCAAATGTGCTGGCACGGTGGGCTACATGGCTCCGGAGGCCCAGAATACGGTTCCATCAGATTTTCCGGATTTTCATCACATGTCGTCATTTTGAAACATGCTATTCATGGTTCTCATGCGGTTTCATCACGTCCAAGATTTCTTGTCATCTTTCATCATCTTTAATTATTGTTCATTTTCATTGTTTTCCATCTTTTACATGATTTTCAGTACTTTGCTTTAGTGTTTAACCATGCTTCATGAATTTTTCTCATGTTCCATTGATTTCAACAGTTTTCGTAATTTTGTTTATCAGCGTTCATCATATTCATTTGTTTTCTTGACCTTTCACCAGGTTTCAGTGTTTTCCATTATTCCCCACCCTCGCTCTGGGGTTGTTAGATTTTAAAGAAGTAGATGTTGTCTTCGCCCGACTGGAAGCTGACTTTGGTGACCAACCACCAAATATCCCTGCAGTGCCCAACCGCAGAGTATCCTTACACTGCCCAACCGCAAAGTATCCCTGCAGTGCTCAACCACTAAGTATCCTTGCGGTGCCCAACCGCAAAGTATCCCTGCCGTGCCCAACTGCAGAGTATCCCTGCAGTGTCCAACCACCAAATATCCCACCATCGCAGTGGGGTTAGATTTTATTGTAGATGCTGTCTTCGCCCGACTGGAAGCTGAC